GTAAGGGCGGTTAATTGGCCACCTTTCGTTGAATAATTACATTATATATATAGGTAAAATATTAGATTTTAGAGGTATATAACATATATTGAATACCCTTTGACAGGGGCGGCCCAAGGGTCAAGCCACTAAAGCAAAGGCTTTAGGCCCCCAAATTTTTGGTGCCCCAAATTTTTCTTTTTGTTTTCTACACGTATTTGTATTGAGATCCCGACTAATCTAGATTCATAACACGTAAAGCCTAGTAAAAGAAGGAACACATTTTGACAGGATCTGTTTAACCACAAGACTCGAACCCAATATATCTAATTACGTAAGTTGGATCATATACATCTCACATCAATCTTTAATTAGAGGTATGGTCTAAATATATTGGGTATTTTAAAATAAAAAAGTAAAATATTTTATAAAAGGTAAAGATAAAAAATAAGACTTAGACTATTGAAGATACCAAAAAACGGATTCTAAAGGTTTATTACACGTTTTAGTGAGTAATATAAAAGGGGAATAATAATATAGGTACTTCACTAATTTTGTTAATTGTAAAATTTAAATAATAAAAAGTTTTATTACAGAGATTTAGGGGAGTGATTCTCTTTTTCCAATTAAAAGTTATAGTGTTCTCTATAGAAAGAAAAGAGTTTTATTTTTTCTATAAAAAAAAAATAAGAGTTGAAGAGTATCGTTGAATAAAACTATATTCGCATTCTTTTTTTCCTTCATGTTTCAAGCGTTTCAACAAGTATATTAGAACATCAAAAATAATTTCGATATCAAGTTATCAACTTCTTGAATATGGTTCTATTATTTAAGATCAACAATCTCTTAGGAGATATTAAATTATTATTTATAAAAGAAATTATTAACAACTTTACATCTTAAAAAGCTAAAAAAATAGACTTTAATTAAAAATACAGATGAATTATTATTATTTTCTTTTGGAAGACTCCAGATTAAAAATTGGCTTTAGGCTACCAATCTTCTTGAGCCGCCCCTGCCCTTTGAGCGGGATTTTTTGTTTCTTTTAAGTTTGAACACTCTTGGAAGAAATTCCTTGATTCGCCAGTGTCATCACATACATATACTGAGGGACATGGCTTATGCTGCTATTACTTCTATTATGAGCACCATACTGAAATCAATGGAATCTACTGGACTTAACCTGCAAATGTACTATAAAAAGCTTGAATCCATGAGAGCTATTGTGGAGAAACCGTTGGAAGTAATAGGCGTTGATCTTGAGGTTTGGAAGCTAAAATCGAAGCGCTAGCATACAGGACAGGAGATATAGTTGGCTAAAGGTTCTCGTTGCAAAAAGTCCAATATCACGAAGAATAGCAATTTGGAGACTTTGTTTCAAGATGAAACGAGCAGTAGGATGCATTGCTTCCACCATAAGGAAGTGGATAGGAATGGTGAACAATAAAGATCTGAAAGCACAAAATTTGACTTTTGCCTCTACATCTGATAGTGCTTTAGAGCCTGAGAATAAGATGGTTGGACTTGAAAATAAATTCGAGATGACACAGGATCAACTTGCATCACACACAATTCCGAGAGAGAGATAAAGAGGGGCATGGCTGATGCTGCGATTACTTGCCTTATGAGCACCATACACCAATCAATGCAAGTTACTGGATGTAATTTGCAATTGTTCTATGAGAAGCTTGAATCGTTTAGAGCTATTATGGAGAAATCGAGGAAACTAACAGCGGATCCCCTTGAGGAATTGACAAGCTTGGAAGCTGAAATCATAGAGGTAGCATGCAACACAGAAGATATGGTTGACTCGGAGTCAAGAAAGATTCTTTTTGCACAAACTGCAGATGAAAGAATCAATGCTTCGTGGGAACTCTTTTCTCTATTGGAACAAGTAGTGGAATGCATTTACACCCCACACTTAAATGTTGCTCGTCCTCGAGTCAACCAACAAATAACTCTATCTTTGAGCACTCTACACCAATGACCATGGTTGATAGCAACAATTAAACTCTAGCATATGAAATCACATAATCTTCCCTTTGCTTATGTCATTCTTCAAAAATATTCAAACAAAGACAATATGCTTACAACAATCCTAGCCTCAAAACCCGACTCAATGTCACAATGCACTCATGGCTTCAACACCCAACAACTTAGAGAAGTCTAATAATGTTACCTATCCCTCGTGAAACTATGTGCCCTCAAAACAAAAGCAAAGAGAGTAAGATCAATCCACACATTCGAATCTCATGCTCACATATATCAAAGAAAATCGCTCACTCTCACAAAAGAAGTCACATGCATGTAATTGGTACCATAGGCTTGCCCTTAATGTAAATTTCCACTAATGTAGGCTCACTCTAAAATCAATTAGGACTTTCATGGTTGTAATGTGGGCTAAGGGGCGGGTAGGATATATTTAGGAATAGTAATTAACCCTCCTAAGCACTTTAATACATCACATGATAACTTATGCGGAAATCCTTCAATACACTTTAATTTCACAACTAAAATTACCCCAAACAATATTCCCTCTTTCTTTAAGCACTATCATCATTTACACTCCACTAGCAAAAAGAAGATATTTATTCATCTATATTTTTTTTCCTTTTTTTTTCAACTATTTTTTTTACTTTTGCACTTTCTACTAGTGGCGTATTCTTTTACAAAATAAATGCACCTCTATTTCTTTCATTGGTTTCACTCAAAAGCCACCCCGCACTTAGTCCCTTCTTACTTCTTTTAGCGCTCTTTTTACAATTAAAGTGCTTTAGGAGGTACAAGGATCAAAACAATATCAATTAAGAACAAAAAGGGTATAGGCTTGTAATGTGGGTGCCAAATAAAAGTTTTTACGCTCAAAAGGGTTTACTAGGGATCAATTTTATTTATGATAAGCACTAAGCTCAATAAGATCAAAGAAGGCCCAAAATCATTTTTCAAACCGAGCATCACCTAAAATTTCGTTTCAACTCACATACCGGGCAAATTCTAGACACAATTACAATACATGGACTACACAAAAATCTTACTACACATGGCACATGACTCACTAAGGACCGTCTCATTCCACTCTCAAACAATGCAAGTATTCACGAAGCCACGAGATATTAAGCATTAAGCACAAAGTGAACACAAGTCAAGAAAATGAGACATAGCGTCACAAGACATGCTATTCAACTAAGCAAGACATCATCAATAATTTGAAATCATAGGGAAGATACTACACATGCCAAAGCCTACATATGCTACTATCAAACAAGTCAAGGCGCCTAGGAATTTCATCTTTCTTCCTACATTTATTCCCTAAATTCTAATCTACTCTAAAAATAAAAATAAAAAATAAAAGAAAAACTATTACCCGGTTCAAACTACATCTCATGAAAAAGAACAAAGGCACAAAAAAAATTACAGGGAACTATTACTACCTAAAGAAATTAAAAGACATATTTTTGAATTTTTGTTCAGGCTTTAATCCCTCAAGAAAACTGTCTAGTAGATCCATCTTCGGGAACATTCCAATTTTTCTACTTTTTTCGTTTTTTTTTTCTTCACAAAAACTACTACACATAAGAATGAGTGCTACAATTAAGCTATAATAGCACAGAAACTCATCCAAACGATCTCTGCACCCCACACTTAAAATTTTGCAATGTCCTCAATGCACACTATAAATAATAAGAGGGTAAAAGAGACTCCCTGGTAGGCCAAAGGCCGAAGCAATAGCGGTTCACGAAGTACTCAGACTTCCCAGGCATCGTCCTTTGTGTGGGCACCCCACACTTAATCCTCACCATCTAGCTCGCTTTTGCACTCTTCCACTGGCTTTGCTTCCTATGCTCCTAATCCTACAAAACAAAAATAAATACTACAAAATAATAAATATAAAATAAAAAAAATAAACAAAAATAAAAGAAAGCAGTAAAGTTGGGTTGCCTCCCAACAAGCGCCTGATTTAACGTCGCGGCACGACTTGAACCGCTTTCTGCCTCCACCTCGAATTTATAAATTGTAACCCTAACATGGCATCCAGTCTGTGGCTATGCTCCTTTGGTGGAGATACAAAAATAAATAGGCCAAGTAACAAATTTTTCACTCTATACTTCTCGGCCTTTATATGAGGAATGTAATTTTTTCTCTGTGGCACGACAAATCAAAGAACGTAAGCAGCTTGTTCCTCTTCCATTGACTCCTCCAAAGGCTTAGATGACTCGATTTCCATGTCATTATCCAAACACAATGTCGAAAAATATTTAGAATGAGGACCAACATGCCCCAACTCTAGAATTATATCACTATTTATATCCTCATATGTGCACACACTAGAGTCTTCAAATATAATATTATCTACTTCCTCACATGACTCTAGAACACTTCTCTCAACATGGACATCCTCAATAAAAATATGGTCTAACGCTTGGTATTCTCGTTTTAGATCCTCTATTTGGTCTAGAAGATTTTTTTCAGTTTCACACAACTCCTTGTTAAGTTGTTGGGCGTTGAACGCATCAACCTTTGCACTCAAATATGCATCCAAGTTGTGCAAAGCCAAGCCAAATTTGTCAACTTCTTGTGCAAGATCAACTCTCTCCTTCGACCAATCATTCACCAATTTTGTTAGAAGATAACGCCGTTTCTCATATTCCGTTAATCGTGAATATTCTTCCCAATACCAACCCTTACTCCCCTATTCAATTCACACCTCCCAGAGTTCAAGTAATGACAAGCCCAAAAAGACGGGCCATAAATGTAATAATCCTAAATATTTTATACACCTATTAATTAAGAGATTGGAGAACTAATTTAATTTGTGGATATTGGGGTCAAATATTAAGTTGTGGAAGGAAATTTTGTTACTATGAGATATGATACTAAATAAGTGGTTAGTGGATAAATTTTTTCAAACTATACTTATATAGTTGACTTTGGTTATTTATTAAATAAATCGGAGTGGGCTAAGCCCATTATCTTATGGCTGCCACGTTTTTTGTGACCTAAAGAGTAGAAAATTTGGGTAATTAGTTCCTTGCTCTTGAAAAAAAAAAAAGAAAAAAAGAAAAGAAAAAGAGAAGCAAAATATTCAGAGGATTCGTTGGCGGCGGCGATAAAAACTATCATCGTGTGAGCTTTCAGGTATTTCGAGATTCGTCCAATATCATAGAGTAAATGACTAGATTTCGACATAGCATGTGCTCAGACATTCTGTAAATTGTGAAATCACAGCGGCAAAGTTAAAATATGGACACAACTAGAAACATATGTGTTTTTGAGAGAAAGATGTGTAATGATGGCCGTATGATGTTGTTGGAAAATAATAATAATGATGTAATGGTTATTAGCTCGTAAAGGATAGATGTGAGATATGGAAATTGTGAAAAAAACGTACTGCTTGTGGAATTGAACATATTTAAGAAGCTACAGTGTGGACTTTTTATCATTTAGTACATAGAATATAACTTTCAATCATGATGTAATGACGATGGCAATGAGAAAGTGAAATAATTATATGGTAGTATAAGTCATGGTATAGTTTTCTGAAGCTACTACGGTTTCGGCACTTTCGAAATACTACTGTCGGCATATGTTTGTGTACAATTATTTATTAATTGGATTGGGGCTTGGCTTTGTTTTTGACTCTGTCCTAAGATTATGAAAAACTATTTACCTAGACTAATTAGGACGTGTTATTCAATATTTTGGATAGATTGAGGTCATTGGAGGCCGTTTGGTTGGTGTCTTAGACGTTGCAAGGTTGGAGAACTTCCCGTTAGCGAGGTAAGTGAGACTTTAAGCTTTGATACTTGCTTTTCTAAAACCCATTTTGAAAGTGTTTTTTTCTCTGCCTGGTCCATGTGTTGGGACAAGCGTGCGCTTGGTAGAGTCGGTGGTCTTAGACTAGCCGCAAATATATTATTTTATGAAAGAAAAAAAAATTATTTTATAAGTTGTTTGATAGTGTGATACGGCTGTGCATCATGAGGTTGAGTTTTATAGTTTGATACGGCTGTGCGCCATGTTATTGAGTTTGATACGGCTGTGTGCCATGATGTTGAGTTTGATACGGCTGTGCGCCATGATATTGAGTCTGATACGGCTGTGCGCCATGATGTTGAGTTTGATACGGCTGTGCGCCATGATATTGAGTTTGATACGGCTGTGCGCCATGATATTGAGTTTGATACGGCTGTGCGCCATGATGTTAGGGCATTGTGTATGCCTTTGTATATCACCCCTATGTTACATATTTGAGGCATTGTGGTGTCGTTGTGGACTCCTGTTGGTAAATATCTTTCACTGCAATTATTATAAGTCCTTAATGGGTATCCTTGTTGGTTAATTCTTAATAACTCTATTGATACACATATGTTGAGTTATTGTATAATATCGTATTTACTTTATCATTCGTGTTGTAGTGTGTTTGTATTTTCTAACACTTGTTCCAGAGGTATTTAAAGTGGCGGGTCGAGGATCTTACTGGGTTATATTTACGTATAACCCACTCCTTACATGCATCTCTATGCAGATACCGTTGCGAGAGATAGAGCTAGTGGCTGACGAGTTTTTTTTCCGAGTGGATCCTATTGCTGAGGTGAGCCATCGCATTGTTCGTGGAGGCTTTCATTTCAGACTTGCTTAGTTCGTGTTAGTTACTTTTTTTTTGGGGGTTTGCATACCCGTCAATAAAACTCATATTACTCTGTTAGATGCTCCATGATCTTAGTGTGGGATTTGGGCTAGAGTTTTATTATTTGAGTGATTGTTGGTTTTACTATCCATTGACTAAGGTATTGAGCGATAATTATTACCTCTTTAATTATTAATAATACTTTAGGCCTGCACTTTTTCTCTCAGTGTTTGTGTAAATGGTTAAACGTTAGAGAAAGGGGTTCGCCTGGCAGGTGGTGTTAGCTGGGTACCAGTCACGTCTAGAGGGTAGTTTGGGATGTGACAATAAAAGTCTTCCATCATCCAAGTATCTTCATCAATAACCTTACCTCCGGATATTTCATTTCCATATGTCATGTTGAGAGAACTGTGAACACACTATGAGAAAAATTAAATTGTTATAAAAATAAAAATATATACAAAACAAAATGGATTAAATTAAAAGTCTAATCTAGAAAACAGCTAGTTTCTAAGTCCGCGGCAACGGCGCCAAAAACTTGTTGTAGCCAAACGCACACGCAAGTATACGTGGTCGTCAAGTAATAATGCGACTAAAAGTCGGATGTCGAACCCACGAGGACTTGTTCTATTAACTAAACTAGACTATCCTAATTATCTAAACAAGAATTAAACCTAAAAATGTTTGACTCTAAACTAATTAAAATAAAGAAAAACAAATAATGAACTTTGAACAAGGGAAAAACAGATTTTACGATATCAATTTAATGAAAACGATCTAGGGTCATTGGCTATCTAATATTCCTATTGTATTCTTCAATTGAATTGACTAACTAATTTATCTAGTTTATTGGTAAACAGGGTTAATATTGCTCATAAGAATCTGTCGAGTTCTTACTCGCCTATTCAAGCTAACGCCTATATGTCTATGGAGTTAGAATCAACAAGAATGCATTTATAATTCCTGTAAATCAACCAAGCAAGGCAATTAGGTATATGTCTATCCTAACCACGAATCCATTTCCCGATGCCCGGATTCAAGAACTTGCTCTACTCAATCCTATATGAAATCTAGAATTCCCACTTTCGAGTTCAACTCTAGATTCATATATAGTATTCAATTGGTGATCAAACAATCAAATAATTAAGCGCAGGATTGAATAAATAAACCAATATGATAAACTAAGAAATCAAAATCAATATTCGACTAACAATAGTCATGAAAGAACCACAACCCTAGAACGTGAAGTTTAGCTCCACATAGACATGGTAGGCAAACAACCAATCATACAAAGAAAAATAAAAATTACTAAGTCTTTAGGAAGAAAGATGGAACTTGATGAATTCCGACCTCCACAACAGCTCTGTGCTTGTGTTTTCCTCTAAAAATGTCCCCCTCTTTCAAAGTAGGTTTAGGTTGGCTTTTATATGAGTTGGGGGCGTCTTGGGGTCAAAATAACCGAGTCCTAGTCGAAAAAGGCCACTTTCCCGTCTTGAGCGTCCAGGGCAACGTGGTGCGCTGGCCCTGGCGCTCAAAATTTCAGCTACTGTCACAGCCAGCGCCCCACGCTGGCTGTGGCCCTTATATTTCACTTTTTGCCTTTTCTTCCCAATGTCGCTCCAATTTGCATCATTTCGTCCCAAATTGCATCCGAATGATTCCTACACATAGAAATACCACAAATGAGCATAAATCATCATATTATACATTCGAAATCTACGAGACATGAGCACAATGTGAGGCACTATACATCAAAATATGCATACATTAAGCCAAACATCAATTCCACCATGAAACAATGGATGGCAATAGGGGATAGGTACAACAACACTAGAGATCGGGAAATACAAAATTTCTCTCTTGTCGATATATCTCAACATGCTTTGGAGATGGAGAATATGATGGTTGGCCATGAAAATTAATTCGAGATGAGACAGGATGAAATCGTTAGAGGCGCAAGGGAATTAGAAGTTGTCTCCATTGTGGGGATTGGGGGCATCGGCAAGACAACTTTGGTTAATAAAATTTACTGCGATCCATTCATTGTGTCTCGTTTTGACATTCGTGCAAAAGCTACTCTTCCACAAGAGCATTGTGTGAGAAATGTACTCTTACGCCTTCTTTCTTCAACAAAGGGAAAGACTGATGAATGATATGAAGAGCAAGATAATGGGCAACTAGCAGACGAATCACAAAAGCTTCTAAAAGGCAAAAGGTACTTCGTAGTGATTGATGACATATGGACTACAGAAGCTTGGAATTATATAAATCTATGTTTCCCAGATTGTAACAATGGGGGTCGAATACTCCTAACCACTCGGAATGTGGAGGTGGCTGAATATGCTAGCTCAATGTAAGCCTCCTTATCATATGTGCCTCATGAATTTTGATGAAAGTTGGAATTTACTGCACAAAAAGGTGTTTGAGAAAGAATATTATTCTCTTGAATTTGAAAAAATAGGGAAACGAACAGCATCAAAATGTGGAGGATTACCTCTAGCAATTACTGTGATTGCTAGACTTCTCTCCAAAATGGGTAAAGCATTGGATGTGTGGCAAAGTGTTGCCGAGAATGTAAGTTTAGTGATAAGCACAAATATTGATGTCTAATGCATGAGGTGCTTGCATTGAGTTACCATCACTTACCTCATCACATAAAACCGTGTTTTCTGTATTTTGCAATTTTCGCGGAGGATGAACTAGTTTTTGTCGATAAACTTGTGGAATTATGGGCAACTAAGGGATTCCTCAAGGTAGAGGAGATGAAAAATATAGAAGAAGTGGCAGAAAAATATCTGAAAGAATGTATAGATAGAAGTTTAATTTGCATACACAATTTGAGTTTTGATGGTGAAATCGAGAGTTGTGGAATGCATGATGTAATTTGTGAACTCTGCTTGAGAGAAGCTCGCAATATGAATTTTGTGAATGTTTTCAGAGGTAAGAATGGTCAAACTCCATGTCTGCAATCCACCCATTTTTCCTCTATTAGTCAAGGTCGGATCAGTGTCCAATTGGCTAAGTATCCAATTAATGAGATCGGTGTGATTGAGAAAAAATTGGCTAGGTATCCTGATATTGACGTTCCTTCTATTATCTATTTTAGTGGGAATTGGTTCCCAGAGTTGTCGCATTTCAAGCTAGTAAGAGTACTAGATCTTGCTTTAATGAGATGTGATCGTTTTTCCAGTGAGATACTTGATTTAATTCACTTGAGATACCTAGCTTTAACTCTTTCTCCTAGTTTATGCCATCTGAAAACACTGATAGACATTCCTCCACAGATATGTAGCCTATGCCATCTGGAAACTTTTATACTATCCGGGGACTAGCGAAGGGGATGGATATATCCTTTGATATTACCATAGGAAATTTTGGCAATGCCACAATTGAGGCTCCTCCGTTTGGACTGGAATTACTTGTGGTATCACGAGCCAACAGAGAAAAGTTTGGTTTTGAAAAATTTGCAATATCTGTATGGATGGAATCCTTGGTATTGTAATGGATCTCTCTTTAGACTATTTCCTAATTTAAATAAGTTGCAAATACGTGGCGTTAGAGAAGACTTTCGTAGTTGTAAAGACCTCTATGATTTTTGCTGCTTAGATCAGCTCGAGGAATTGGAATTTTGTCTTGCTTATCGAAATGTAGATGCTGCTTGCTTTCTAGAAACAATTACACCTTCAGGTGCTACTTCACAAGACCTTCTGAGGAGGCTGAAATTTTCGACTTGAGTCCTTCTCTGCCCCTTCCTCCTATAGATGATGCTTTGCCACATTTGCTCCTACCTCAGCCAGATGCTTTTCCACAGAGACTTAAGAAGTTAGCTTTTAGTGGGACTTCTTTGCGATGGATGGATTTGAGCATTGTTGGTAAATTGCCAAAACTCGAGGTTCTTAAACTAGAAAATGATGCCTGCTTAGGCGACGAGTGGGAAGTAGTTGATGAAGGGTTTCCTCACTTGAAGTTCTTGATACTGGAATGTTTGAAGATTCATTACTGGAGAGCCAGTTGCGATTACTTTCCATGCCTTGAACGACTGTTTTTGGAACGTTGCCTTGGTTTGGATTCAATCCCTCAAGATTTTGCAGATATAACCACACTTGCTCTAATTAATATTAGCAGTTGTGCAGAATCTCTTGGAAATTCTGCCAAGCAGATTCAACAGGACATTCAAGAAAACTATGGAACATCTGTTGAGGTTACTGTTGTTAGGCCTGTGAAAGCCAAGAATATTTACTTTAGTTAATCTATTTTTAGTTTGATTATAGGACTGTTGTACAGAATATCTTTGTTCTTATTTCTCTTCAGTTTCTTAAATTTTTACTGTTGTGCCTTCTGTTATAATGTGGTCTTAAGTCAGATTCTTTTTTCTTTTCCTTCATTTTTTCTTATTATGGAAATAAATAGTAGCATACTTTCATGAGTAGGAATCTTCAATAAGAGTTTAAGTTTTGTGCACGGGTGTATAAATTTTTTATACCATCATGTACAGCTGATTTACAACAACATATAACTCTTCATAGTAAGCTCGATCTACTAACCTAGATAATAGAATAATAATTTGCTGTAATAAATTTCATTAATAGTGTAAAAATTGTTTAAACTATCATTACATATAACTTAAATCCGTCCAATGAATGTGTAACTTGTTATAATCTTCTCCTGTTCTGTTATGTGCCAACTGATTGACAACAAAACTGGAATGCTTTTGATTAGATACTAATCCGACCTCGACGTTTTGAGGAAAAATGCATGGATTGTTCACAACTTCACATGTGTTTTGATCTTCCATAACACCATAAAATTTTCACTTCGAGCTTCACTGGCGCAGAGTTCACGGATCATATCATGCATTCTGCAAGCTTTGATTCAACGGGACACTGAAGACAACTATGCAAGTTCTGTTGAGGTCCATATCACTTGGGTTGGAATTGGATTTTTCATTTTTGTTGTGTTTGTTCTAAATATTGGTAGGTTGGAATTGGACTTTTCTTCTGTCTTTTCTAAATGTTGGTAGGTTATAAGAGAAACTAGACCTGTATATATAAACAAGTAAGGACATGAGATTTTCTTTTGCTATTATACATTAACTTTGAAAGACCGCTGCTTGTTTGGATGGTTGTTATGTCACGACCCCAGTTCACCCACCGTGAACATGTCGTGATGGCGCCTAGTCTCTACAACTAGGTAAGCCTAAAATGCGGAAAACAAAATAACTTGCGGAAAATAATAAATCAACTTGAACAGTTAAAAGAAAATACGGTGTATAGATGCCACTTGGCATATACAATTCCATAACACGGAAGTCTACAATATCATCCCAAAATTCGGAAACTCACGGGAACACAAGCTAACAGAATGAGTACACTGCTCTAACTCCAGAATGTCTAAAACAACAGTAAGAAAGGAACGATATCTGCTAAAGCTAGAATAAGATAGAGACTCCTTGGTCTGCGGAAGCGGCAGATGTACCTCGAAGTCTCTGCTAGATCTCTCCGCCTCGAGGATGATACGCCTGGGTGGAGGTACCTGGATCTGCACATGAAAAACATGCACAGAAGGGGCATGAGTACACCAAAACGGTACTCAGTAAGTGCCAAGCTTAACCTCGGTTGGGTAGTGACGAGGAAGGTCAGGGCCCTACTGAGGTTAAGTAATAATACAGGTTAACAGTATGAAACGACAGTGTAATTAAATAACACATGATATAAGGGCAACAACAACTATTACAACGGCAAACAAAACACAATAAAAGATCATAACTCAAATCCGAGATAACAACCGGGGATCTCCAAGGATACCGTCCTGTAGTCTCAAATATAAATATCATGTCCAGTGGATCTCCCGGGTGCAGTCCCGTAGTCCAACTCATAAAGTGCAGGGGGATCTCCCGAAATGCAATTCCGTAGTCCCAATGTAAACATACAGGGGAGCTCCCGGGATACCGTCCCGTAGTCCCAAAATAAATATACAACAACAACAGAACACAATTCAATCAATATGCATATCAAAGTGAAGCAGGTAATCCTAACCTAGCATGGTTCACGTAGCACAGTTAAGGCAGTTAAGACAGATAAGGCGATTTACTCAAGTAGACATGCTTCTCTAAGCTATAGCAGGTTTAAATATCAAACAGTGTAAGCAAAGAAAGGATGAACACAATTCAAGGCTATTTTTAAAGAAAAGAACCATATTTCTAACAAGTAGCACAAGTGCGCGCTCGTTACCTCACGCACGAGGCATTTCAATTATCACGAAATCAATCCTAAGGGGAAAAGTCCCCCACACAAGGTTAGACAAGTCACTTACCTCGAACCGGCTCCAAAATCAACTCGAAACCACACGTTTGCCACGAGTATCCGACTCCAAATTGCCCAAATCTATTCAATTCAATGACATGTCGTAAATAATATCTCAAGCAACTGATTCTACAATTTAATTCAAAGCAAATACGCGACATTATGTAAAATGACCAAAATGCCCCTCAGGACAACGTCTCGGAATCGGATAAATTTTACATTTTCAGAAGCCTCGTACTCTCACGAGTCTAACCATATAAAAATCTCTCAAATGAGAGGTCAAACACCCACTCAAAACTCACTAACTTGGTCTATGAAGTTTTACCCATCTCTCATTCAAAAATCTAAAATTAAGGAGGAATTCGTGATTAGATTAGTAGGTTTTAAGCATAAGAGAGTAGAGAATCGTTACCCGGTCGTTGCCTTCAAAAATCCCTCGAAATTTCTCCCAAATCCGAGCTCCCAAGCTTGTGTTTTGATAAAAATGGCTAACCCTCGGTTTCGAATTGTTTATAACTGTACAGGTAATTAGTGAATCGCGATCGCGAAGATAGGACCGCGATCGCGAAGAGTAAAATAAAGGCTCCAGGAAAAAGGCCTACGCGAACGCGAGAAGGAGCATGCGATCGTGGAAGAGGAGGAGCTGGCCTTACGCGATCGCGTCTGAAGTCACGCGAAGGCGAAGAAGGAATAGGCCAGTTCTGTGCGATCGCAAACCAATTCATGCGATCGCGATTAAGGAATGGGACCCCCCCCCCCCTCCGAAATTACTCTACGCAAACGCGTGAAGGGGTACACGATCGCGAAGAAGAAAACAGGTCTGCAACAGCTGAAGAAATTCTGCAATTTTTCACAACTCCAAAATGCTCCGTTGAGCAACCGAAACACACTCGAGGCCCCCGGGACCTCAACCAAACCTACGGACATATCCCATAACATAATTCAAACTTGTACCAACCCTTAAACCACCTAAAACAACATCGGGAACTCGAATTAATCAACGATTTAAGCCTAAGAACTTCAAACTTCATCAAAATACGCTTTCGATCAAAACCCTAACCAAAACACGTCCAAATATCCTGAAATTTTGCACACACATCCCAAATGACATGACGGAACTACTACAACTTCCGGAATTCCATTCCGACCCTCGGATCAAAATCTCACTATCGGACCGGAAACTTCAAAAATTCAAACTCGGCATTTCAAGCCTGAATTAGCTATGGATCTCCAAAACACATTCTGAACACGCTCCTAACCCCGAAATCACCTAACGGAGCTAACGGAACCATCGGATTTCCATTCTGAGGCTGTCTTCAGACTGTTATGACTATGGACCATTTTCCAACACTTAAGCTCTCCTTTAGGGACTATGTGTCCCAAAACTCTCTGAAACTCAAAACCGAACGTCCCGGCAAATCAAAATAGCAGAAATAAACTTGGGGAAAGCAGTTAATAGGGGATCGGGGCGTAAATTCCAAAAACGACCGGCCGGGTCGTTACATCCTCCCACACTTAAACATTCGTTCGTCCTCAAACGAGCATAGAGAACATACCTGAAGTAGCGAAAAGATGAGGGTACTGGCTGCGCATATCCTGCTCGGCGGCTCAAAGCATCGGCCACCACATTGGCCTTGCCCGGGTGATACAAGATATTGATGTCATAATCCTTCAGCAGCTCTAACCATCTCCTCTGACGCAAATTAAGGTCCTTCTGCTTAAACAGATGCTGCAAACTACGGTGATCAGTATATATCTCACAAGGCACACCGTACAAGTAATGACGCCAAATCTTCAAGGCATGAACAATGGCAGCTAACTCAAGATCATGGACATGATAATTCTTCTCATGTATCTTCAACTGTCTGGACGCGTAGGTGATCACCCTACCGTCCTGCATCAATACTGCTCCAAGGCCAACTCTCGAGGCATCACAATAGACAATGTAAGACCCCGAACCGGTAGGCGATATCAAAATTGGGGCGGTACTCAAAGCTGTCTTGAGCTTCTGAAAGCTCGCCTCATACTCCTCTGTCCACTGAAACGGAGCACCCTTCTGGGTCAATCTAGTCATAGGGGCTGCAATCGATGAAAACCCCTCCATAAACCGACGGTAGTAGCCCGCCAAGCCAAGGAAACTGCGAATCTCTGTAGCTGAGGATAATCAGGGCCAACTCTGCACTGCCTCTACCTTCTTCAGATCCACCCGAATGCCCTCACTCGATACCACGTGACCCAAGAATGCCACGGAATCCAACCAAAACTCACATTTTGAAAACTTTGCATATAATCTCTTTTCCCTCAGAGTCTGAAGCACTGTCCTCAGGTGCTGCTCGTGATCTTCCCGACTCCGGGAATACACCAGAATATCATCAATAAAGACAATGACAAAAGAGTCAAGATATGGCCGGAATACACTGTGCATCAGATGCATGAAGGCTGCTGGGGCATTGGTCAGCCCAAATGACATAACAAGGAACTCGTAATGACCATACCGAGTCCTGAAGGCAGTCTTCGGGATATCTGGCTCCCGAATCTTCAACTGATGGTAACCTGAGCGCAAATCAATCTTAGAAAACACCCGAGCGCCCTGAAGCTGGTCAAACAGATCATCAATACGAGGCAAAGGATAACGGTTCATCACTGTAACCTTGTTCAACTGCCGGTAATCAATACACATGCGCATAGAACCATCTTTCTTCTTCACAAATAACACAGAAGCACCCCAAGGCAATACACTGGGCCGAATAAAACCCTTATCAAGTAATACCTGCAATTGTTCCTTCAACTCCTTCAACTCAGGAAGAGCCATACGGTACGAAGGGATAGAAACGGGCTGAGTGCCCGGCAACAGATCAATGCCAAAATCAATGTCCCTATCGGGTGGCATGCCCGAAAGATCGGCTGGAAACACATCGGGAAAATCCCGTACTACTGGGACTGAATCAACCGAAGGAGTATCCATACTGGCATCCGTCACATAAGCTAAGTACGCATCATAACCTTTCTCAATCATTCGCTGAGCCTTAAGGAAAGAAATAACTCTGCTGGGAGTGTGACCTAAGGCACCCCTCCACTCAACATGCGGTATACCTGGCATAGCCAGCGTCACAGTTTTGGCGTGACAATCAAGAATAGCATAATAGGGCAACAACCTGTCCATGCCCAAAATAATATCAAAATCAACCATGTTGAGTAATAATAAGTCAGCCCTGGTCTCAAAACCACCAAGAATAACCAAACATGACCGGTAAACACGGTCCACAACAAAAGAATCTCCCACAGGAGTAGAAACATAAACTGGAGAACTCAAAGAATCCCGAGGTACCCCCAAATACGGAGCAAAATAAAAAGACACATAAGAGTAGGTGGAGCCTGGATCGAATAGAACCGATGCATCTCTGTGACAAACCAAAATAGTACCTGTGATGACAGAATCGGAGGCGGCAGCCTCAGTACGGCCTGGAAGTGCATAATATCTGGCCTGGCCTCCCCCTCGAGGGAGACCTCTACCTCCCCGACCTCCACCTCTAGCTGGCTGGGCCGGTGGGGTGGCAGCTGGTGCTGGAACCATAGCCTGAGAGCTCTGCGGGGCCTGCTGTGGCTGAGGAGCCTGCGAAGGTGCACCCCTCCTGAGTTTGGGGCAATCTCTCACCATGTGGCGTGTGTACCACACTAAAAGCAAGCTCTGGGAGGACGTGGCGGCTGTGACTGGCTCGGGCCAGATCTGCTGGACTGTCCACTGGAAGCACCCCGTGCAGGAGGCGCACTAGAGACTGGAGGTACATAATAAGGCTCT